TATTTTAATTAAAATTGTTCAACTACACGATCTCGGAGATAGATGTGGTGGAAGCTTGTACTCATTCTCTATGTCGTTTATGTAGTGGCAACAACACCAATCCTCTTTTTAACCGAGCCTACACCAACTAGCTCTTGTCCATGCATCTTAGGATTTATAAGTAACTTCAAATTGGCTTCAATGAAAAGCTTAGTTTCATTAGTGCCATTTTTTTTTATTTATTGCAGGTTGGCTTTCATACAGTGAACAGTGAACGTATTTCCTGCTTCATTTGGGACAGATAACCTTTATAACACAGAAGAAGTAACATAAAGTCAGTTGATGAATAAAAACTTCTTGATTTACGTTTTATCGTTTTTTATTTTACTTATAAAAAAATCCTTTTGATTATTTCTTTGATTTGCTGTTAGATTAGCCACAAAATTAAGACAGCATTAGTCTTCACTAGTAAGTGAACAAAGAGTCAAACAAAAATTTATGGGCAATTTCAAGTGCCCTTACCGTTATAGGAGCAGGAAAGATAACATCATATTTAGAATGTTCCTTAATGAATCTTGATAAACATGAAATCGAAGGGGTAAAATTAAATGTACACGTAAATATAGCTTTTAATAGCAAAAATCATCAATATCTGCACAATACACGGGAGCTCTAATATGAGGGTCTCAATGGGGTAGTGGCTTTTACGGTTATCGGCTAAAATTTTGGCTCTTTTACGGCTATCGGTTAATTTTTTTCAGTTACGGTAAACAAAAAAATTAAAAATTAATTAATTTTGTTTCAAAGAGTTAAATATTAATTAACCTGAATTTTTTGTGTCTTTAAAGCAAAATAAAGGTCTTCGGATCATCTCGGGATGAAATAAGCTATTCTTTTGAAAAATTTTAACATTTGATAGATCATACTTTTTTAAAAGTATTCCACTTCTGATATTATTTTACACATAGAAATGTCAATAGTCAATTTAAAAATAATCTTTGTGAAAAAGAAAGAGCAGACACGCGAACGCCCATCTCAAGCCGGGACGCGACATTCTTTATAACAGAAATGGCCGTTTTTACACTAGAGACGGATTATTCGTGTGAGACGAGTTATCTGTTTAATGATTCGCGTCAGATAGGTAATACGCCTTAATTTAAAAATGAAATAGTTTTAACTTTGAATGAAAAATCCGCCTGACTTTATCCATCAATTTTGACGGACTGTTTGAAGCTGGATTATCCATTTCAGAGAGCCTGTGTACAGCCGCCCCCTCCCCTCATGAAAAATCGGAGAAGGGGTGTCTGTGGGGAGGGCGCGACTGTACACAGGCCAGTCAATCCGTTTCTAGCTCTAGTGTGAAAACGGCCAAAGACAAAATTCTCGTGTCCGGTGTTTTTAATGATAGCGAAGGACTGTACGGAACGACTTTCTGCCGTTGCCTTGTCCGTAGGCCTCATTATTCCGCGCGGCTTTTGCGTTTTGGGTCACGTGGTCTGGGCGAGCTCCCACCGAAATGCCTTGATGACCGAGATTGCGTGGTAAGACGCTGTACAGGGACGAGGCATGGCAATGTCTACAGTAGCATCAGAGAAAAAAAAGGGAATTGTTGTTTATCAGCAACGTGTTATTTTTAAACAGTGACATCTCTGCGTGTTGTTTCACTATTGTTTTGAGGGCCCGACCTCCTGAAAATCCCAAATATTAATCCTCAGTAGGCTCCTGTCCCCAGCAAGAAGCCACACTTTCACCATGGAAAAAAATTAGTTCCTCGAGAGAGCGGCGGAAATGGAGCCTACGTCTAGGTCAACACCTAAAGGGCGCTTGGCCTAAGGTGCGTACGGAATCACGTACAGTAGCCAGGAAATAAAAAACGCAACCATAAGTGAGTTTAGCACCTTCCTTAAAATTAGCAAATCTGGCGAACAATTCCTTTTACGGTTAACTCTTTTTTACCCTATTTACGACTAGCGGTAAAAATTTTTCAATTTTTACGGCTATCGACTAAATTTTTGGCCGTTTTACGCCTATCGCTTAACCCCATTGAGACCCTCTAATATTTTGATCCTTAATAGCGTAGAGTATTATTCTTCTAATCAACCATTTTTGTAAAATTTCGCCTTCATTTGGCAACATTTAGTTAATGAAACTTTTGACGGTAAATAAACCAATACTTTTTATTCTAAAAATAGAACAAATTCCGCTACCCTTCACTGTAAATAGAATATTAAGGCACAATAAAGTTTTACTGCCGCCGCTTGTCTACTGTAAGTAACAGGGCTGTAATATAGAATATTGCTATAGTAGTCGCAGTTCCTAAGCACTAAATAAAATGCTGATATGAATCGAAAGAAAATAAGGCTTATACCATGATTTTGTACCCTGGCAAAGAGGAACTCGTTTTTTGAGTGCACACACGCTTCGTTGCAGAAAATTGGAAACGGTTCTTTATTGTTAGTTCAAAAACAAGACATCAATAATTCATTGAGAAAACACAAACATAGTTATGTTGAAGAATATTCTTGCAATCTGTTAGAAACTGCGGAGTGTACATTTTCTCCCAGATTTCCTGATGAAAATAGACAAATTCGTAATGATCGTTGGCGAATGAACAAATCTACAATCAAATAATTTTTTCGATCGACTCTTTTTTATTTGTTCTTGTTTGCCGGCGTATGAAGTCATGCAGTGTGATCACTCAATCAATTCTCTTCAACATATCGACATTGTTTGTTTGTTTTTATTTTATTTCCTGAGAAAATCTATGATTTAAGTGTAAGTATGGTGTTGTAAATTGTTTACCAAAAATAATGGGTTATAATTAACCTGTGTAAGGGACAGTTTGCGCAGAGTCACCACTCCACCAGAAGTAGTTAGCTCATTTGAATATTTCACATTTTCATTTAAACCTGTGATAATAATCAAATGACGCTACTGCAATTATTCCGACTTTGCATTCGTATTAGTTAAACGCAACACTCAGGTGTCAGAACGTTGATACGCCGTCTGCAGTTGCATGTTGTACGTAAAAGATGCTGAACTCAAAGGTAGGAACTAAAAAGATAGCTGACAAGAAAATCAAATGAAACTATATATTTCAAGATCCAATTTGAAACTCCAATCATGTATTTCAAACTCTTAGTGTGATAATGTACTTATGGTTCTACAAATTTCAGTTGTCTCTAATCAAGCACTGTCTGATTCTCTGGTCAATGCAAAGGCAACCTGTTCTTACGAAAGTCTTTGATTGATGGTATATCGTTTATTTTTTGTTTGTTTGCCTTTGAAGAGTTTTTTTTTACCGAAAAGTATCGCGGCTTCAGTGCATATGGATGGATGCGCTCTGAGGGTTAAAAATGAACTAGCTTGTAATGAGTTTATAAGGTCTTAAACAAGTTCGGGATAGAAAAACGTCTTCTCGGAAGTACTGAAAATAAGGCCACTAATTGGTAAAACCACGATGGCAGAAAAAAATTGATAGCGCGGTGGTACTGAAGGACACCGTTCATTAAGTTATTACGTAATGCTTTTTGTTAGGTTAGTCGGCTCTTGCTTACAAGTGTTATTTTATTCATATATGAAGGGCATTAACGAGTAAAAGAAAATTTACTGAAATTGGCCTTAGAAATAAAGAGAGGAAAATAAAATTTACTTGTTTCATGGAGTTGCTGCGGATTTCATAATAAGGAAATATAATTCTTTCGGCGGAGGAAAGGATATTCATATACAATCGAAATAAACTCCAGCCATGTCTAAGTGGATTATGATGACAGAACCATACAGTACGTTAAATTGCACCAGAGTAAACAGAGAAAAAATGGGGTTTAAAAACGTTAGACATAGATGGAATTTTTTTTAATTAAAAGAGGGCTAGCCAAGATTCATGCACCGCCAGGCAAAAAACTGGACTGGGTACAAATAGTTGCATAGTTCAGTTTCATCTGCTACCATTACTTTGCACTTTTTGTTTGTATGTTCGGTTTCATTTCAGTTTGTTATAATATTCAGGACATGTTCGCTGTAAACAAAATTTTGCAACTTCTTTTTTGCTGTTCTCTTAAAATTATTTTCACCACTTGCTTCACATATATCCCTCGTATCTGCAGCGTACGATATTTTTTTAAGATTGAAGGAAAACCTAGACCATACAATGAGGTTTTAGGGATAACACCGAATAGGCGAAGAAAATATTAATGATGCTTTTAGGAGACTCGGGAAGCTCATGGTTTGTGCATCGTAAAATGGTTTAACCTAAATTTTTCATATTTGCATTTGCAATCCGTGTTAACTCAAGACATGTATACGATGATAACATCCCCACCTACATGAGTGAAACAATGGAACATCGGGTGGATTCGGCCCACCTGATCGTAGCGTCGTGACACTGCAAAATTTAAACAAAGGGTTTTTACTTATTCTGTGTGGTCATTTATTTTGTAAGAACCCCTTGTTAACAATAGCCTGCATTTCACGACTCCATCCAAACAACTAGAAACTCATCAAATTTGAGTGCAATTTTCTCGGTGCCAACTTACTGCTTTAAAAAGCCATTTTCGATCTTCAATGAATGTAGGAGCATATAATGTGAATTTGTAATGAGTTAGACCGCGAAACAGTCGGTGTTTTTCTCAAAATCGGCTTGATAGCTTAAAAGTCTCACGTCAAGAAGCGCGCAAGAGTATTTTTAGCGTCTCTCCCCAGTCTCGTTCTCCGTTTTCAGCCTCACTCAAGACCTTTTGTTTGACTTTTCGAGCGTACTTGAATACGCAAAAATACGGACTGTTTTGCAGTCTATTTATGAGTAAAAACAAGTGTTGTTAGAGCCGCTGGTGTGATAACAGTCATACTTAAGTGAAGATCAGTACTGTCACGTGATAAGTCTGTTCGAATTCTGTTCCAGGATCTCAAATAGTCAAGATAAACGCTGAAATCTTCGCATAGAGGATGCTGTTGTTACAGTTTTGACGTTCGTAATCTAAGGCTCGGCAGGGCAGCCATAGTAGGGAGCTTAAGCAACTACGATGACGACGACGACGACGACGGCGATGGCAAAAAAAATTCTCATAAAAAGTGAATTGATGCTGTTTTGAAATCCATCGCTCTTATTCCACGTCGTTCAAAATGTCAAATATTGGTAAATTTTTCTGGAGTTGAATTCTAAAGGAGCTGGCGGGGTGGGGGAAACAAGATACATTATTGGGCAGTGTTACTTCTTGGTCTTGCAAAGTTGTTGTTTTGCTAAAGGACTCCAATCTTTTTTTGGCCATTTCGTCGTGGTCGTTGCTTAAGCTCCCTAGTGTCTTGGTATCTGGAAATAGAGTACTAAAGTGATGACGTCATAAAAATGAAATTTCTGAAATTATGGGATTTGTCAGGATATTCTGAAAGAACAATGTCCAAGAGGCCTACTTGCCAAAAATGAGCATTTCGGGGCAAATTGTCTCCGAGATCGTAGCCCAGTTATACTCAGAAATCTCCATACAAACCCTTCTAATTTTTTTTTGGGTCGACCCAAAAAAATTTAGAAGGGTTTGTATGGAGTTTTGTAAGCATAACTGGGCTACGATCTCAGCAACAATTTGCCCCCAAATGCTCTTTTTTGGCAAGTAGGCCTCTTAAACATTGTTCTTTCAGAGTATCCTGACAAATCCCATAATTTCGGAAATTTCATTTTTATGACGTCACACTTTAGTACTCTATTAAGTCATTATTCGCTTTTTTTTCTCTCTTTTTTTTCTACCATTTACGTTAGGAAACTAAAATTTGCTAGCGTTCGTCTGTCTGAAGTTTGTTATTCAACAGTTGTTGCTAGGGTTACTAGCTGTGCTGACGTCACATGGCTTGCTTTCTTGTCATGGATACCCAACTCATGTACCAATTACAGTCTGTGAATATCTGATGCCAGGACATCAGCTCCAGCCATTACAATTTGTTTCACCTCAGCCAATGAACACCAACCCTTACTCGATTCACGTGAGCAACACGAGCTATACACCTGGTGGAATGATGACTGTCGTGATTAATGGAACTATGGGAATTAAGGTGAATAAAAATGGAAGTACGGATCTTCGGATCTTACTTTCAACATCCAGTTACCTGTGAAACCTAGACTGTGTCACAGACAGACGAAAGTATACTTTTGGTTAAGTCCATCTGCGAGCCAGCGCAGAAATGTCCGTTATAAACCCCACCCGTGTGCCAGGATTTGAGTACGCTCCATAATTAGCCTGTTGAAAAGTCAATGTGATTTAATGATTTGCCAATCAGGTTGAAGGGAAATTCCAAAAGCACTTCAGGTAACTCGTTGAGTCCGTTGGATATCCAGAACAAGGATCTCCGCGCTGCTTCACAGACGTCACTAACCGGGGCTAGATTACATCTGCGACGCTGGCTATGTGAGACCCTTTTTCTTGAAAGTTCTAATTTGCATCACTAGCAATAAAACGCGAACGTTAGTCATTTACAATTTATTACTGCGGCTCTTGCAATACAGGAGTTAAGTCGTCCCAAAGCCCCCTCCAAACGAAAAGAACAAATTGTGAAAATTTACGATTTCTACTGATAATGCCTTTATATTTACCCTTACAGGGTTTCATTATCCAAGCGCGTGCTGCAGGAAGTCCTTTACCAGTTGGAGAATTTCAGGGTAGCCTGCCAAGCAACCAGACTTATATGTGGTGTTCCGGTGGTGAACCGCAGGTGCATTCTAATGGCAAAATTACACGATGACCTCCTTTTTCTACAACTACCAGAATCCTTCAGTTTGTTGTTTTCTTGTGAAAATTAGGGCTATCGATATTATTATTTAAAGCAAAAACGAAATGAATTGTGATAGTTGTAGTTGGGAAGTTTCTCTGGATCTTTTACTGATCCAATAAAATTCCATGAAACTGCCCCACTACCCTTCCCTTAACCTAACGTTTACACTTACTTCTTATACTGATAGCCAATCATGAAACGGTAACGTGTCCAAAACAGTCTCACACTGTGCTATTCAACGCAAATCCGGCCCAACCTCATCACACGCAGCCTTAGAATGGCCAAAACTCCTCATTTAATTTTACTTCTATATTCTCTCTCTGCCTAGGCCTTTATCTGTTACCTCTCCCCCCCTGCATCTCAAGAGCAATCCTCCTTTTTTCTATACCTCTCTCCCCTTTTGACTAAAGACTTTAAACATCGCTCTCTTTTATCCTTATTCCATCACCAGAATACAGTTGCCCATCGCCGTACTGGCCTGGCAGACAAGTCGTGGATTTCATTGAAATTCACCTGGAAAGCACCGGAAGCCCCTGTTGGGAACATCTCTTTTTGGTAAAAATGAACAACATGTCTAGTGATTATAGTTTACGCAAACCAACCAGTGCAAGGAAAGCGCTGCGCTCTCAATATAAATGATAAATATTTCCAAAACCTCTTTGAATTTGCTTGAAACGCTGCCCATAAAGCGAAGTTTGATCTACTTTCGTCTAGTTCATTTTGTCTTTTTCGATGAAAACTCAGTCTAGGAATAGGTTCTTCATATTAGTTCATATTAGACAAAATGTAATTACTTTTCAAGCACCAGAAGGTGACAGCTGTTTAAAGGTATACCTAACATTTTCACTCAGGGCCAGTCTTCTTTACAACTCTACCACATTTTGGGGGAGAATCCAATCTGCAGAGATCAGCGGGCCTACAGCTGTTGCAAGGCCTTCTCCAACACTACAACCAAGCTTTGAGGTAAATAAAACTTAACTAAATATAACGGATGCAGGACATCTTTGGTTGCGTAAGGCTTGAGGAGTCTTCCTGTGTCACGCTATTTGGTGTCTTTTTAAACAGCTAAAACGTGTTTTCGCATCAATTGGATTTCAAAATTAGAGTAATGATCAAGTTTTGTTATTTAAGACTTTGCTTAGCGCTGATCTGCCCTGCAAAGTAGGTTGTCGGGAGCGTCGCTGTATGGTGGTCATGTGCATTTTCAGGCTTCATTACCGAGGCCTGACTTGTATAATGTATCTGGAATGAATTCACCCCAGAAGGATACTGGGGCTGAATTAACATTTCGCAAAGACTTCTGGGTCTGTAACTAGGGACAGAGGAAAAAATTGGCCAATAGCTGACCTGTGTGTCCTCTGTAACGATCCCAGAAGCACTTGCGGGAGGTATTTCGGCTCCAGTCCTCTTCTTGTTTCTTAAGTGGCGAATGGAAGAACGACAAGCCGCTGGACCTTCGCGTGGTACAACTGACCAAGTCGAAATGGCTGTTTAGACTGAAAATAATTTAATATCCTGAGAAGTGATGTTATTATTATTATTGATGTTTCAGATAACTAAGCAAGGCTGTGGAAGTGAAAAGAGTTGTTATTCCGAGCCAGAATACTGCACAAACAGCTCCAATTGTGCATTCCTTGTAACTTTCAAGGCGGAGGGTGACAACATCACATTTGAGATGAGTGGGTCTCACCGCTACATTGCCGTTGGTTTTAATGACAAGCAAGAAATGGTAGGTATTTATAATGTCTGTACACCAGCCTCATCACCAGCGGCCTCCTTCCGAGAATTCTCTCTCTTGATGTAAATTTCCGCGCAAAGGAAGGCGGGAAGGAGAACACAAGCGAGACGTCTGGCCTCTTCTTTTTGCCTCCAGAGGTCTCTCGCGTTTCGCCACCAGTCGATCACTCGCGTTTCGCGCTCTCCTTTGTTCGCGATCAAATTGAAAAAAAAAGGTGTCTGAGGAGAATGCAGTGTCTGATGCAGATATCTCCTAACAGGAAAAACACAGACACGTTTTTCACGTTGCCCCTTCCCTCTTTATTGCACACCCACGATTCTCTAGGGCTTGGTTTTGCACAGGAAGTACACCACATCACTACAGTTTACCTACGCTTTATTGAGATGTATTACGGATGCCGAAGAATTTTCAAAGGGCGCCATCGTCCTGCTTCGAGGCCCAACAAATTTTCTGAATTGACAAAAAAAAGAACTCAAACGTCAATCAGTCAACGTTTAGCGTAAAATGTAGTTTTTTTATACTAGGTTTTGTACTCAGTTTTACATTTACTTTTCTTGCCTTTCAATCGTTGATTAATTAATTTTACTATTGTTCTCCTTTTTTAGAACCAAACTGATACAATTTCCTGCTCAACATCCTCAAACAACGCTGTTGAAATTAGACATTACTTCTTGGCTTTTCGTCAGCCAATACGAACTGACATAGTAAGTGTGAACGATTTTGTTTGCCATTCATATTTTATACCTAAGGGATAGAACAAGAGACAGGGACGGGGTACCTCAACGTTATCCCAAAATGTTAAATTTAAAGGGCGTGACCACGTCCAGCAAGACCGTTAACGCAAGCCGTACCCCATCCCAGGAATTATACTTGCGCACATATTGTGAAAAAGTCTCCTCGAATAATAGCCGTCCCTTGATTAATCGCCTCCCTCCAATAATCCCCCTCTCTGACGGAAATATTTAAAATAATCGCCTCCCTCGAATAATCGCCTCCCACCCGCTCCTTTCGCCATCTTCTCTTCCTTTTATCCCCTCCCTGTCAAGCTGAAGTGCAATGTGATCCAGCAAAACTGATAAGTGACGCTTCAAGCTATGAAAATTAATCAAGGAACTAAATTTGGAACACTTAAAAAGCCCATATTCAGTTTATTTGATGTGATTATTTTTTTATTTAATGGGAAAATAAAACAAAATATTTAGGACACGACTTAAAGAGAGCAATATTTGAAATAATCGCCCTCTCTTGAGTAATGGCCCTCTTTTTGAGCGAAAAAAAGAAATAATCGCCCCCGGCTATTATTCGAGGAAATACGGTAAATGTTTGAAGAGTTTTATGTTATGAAAACTTGATCTTTTTCATCAGAGAAACACGGATGACATTGTTCGCCATATGGCTGCCTATGAAAATGGAACATTAACATGCAGGTATAAAACAGTCTCCTCCTCAGGCGCTTCGTTTTTCGCATGGCAGAGGCGAGCGCGAAACGCGAGTGACTGGTGATGAACCGCAAGGGACCAAGGGATGGGTACAGATGGCGGGCGGGCGCCCGTTGTCTCCTTCCCGCCTTCCTTTGCGCGCACATTGAAAGAGAGACGTCTGGGTACGAGGCAGGGTATAAAATGTGGTGACCATCAGTAAAGTTCTTTTATCTTGTCTATTCTTAAGCAGAACATGGCTATACTTAGGTCGCTCAGGTTTTAGGAAAGACTAACATCGGAGATCACGGATGATCAACTTAATTTTGGATATAACAAGGCAAAGAATTGTTAATTGTCTTAATTGTTATAATAGTACAATAACAAATTATTGAACCTAATGATTTAGCAACGATACGTTGTCTTTCAACCCCTAAAATTATTAGTGTGACAAAAACCTGTATTTTCTTGTGTTTGCATTTCATTGATTGACCTTATTTATCACGGATTTTGCAACGGTTCTGCTTATTTCTAGATTTTCTCGTAAGCTTTCACCCTCGACTGCGCACAAGATAGACCTCATAATGAAGAACTGGTTTTTTATTTTTGCATGGGGCAGCGTTAGTAAGTATCCGTTAGTAATAAGATAACGTATCAGTTCAGTTGGCAGCAAGTCATTATTATAAGAAAAAAAAGGAAAAAAATTATACTGATTTGAATTTAACAAACCACGGCCTGGCCAGTAACTCACGCAAGCGCAAAGGTGGTGTATGTGTGCTTCTTGTTAACTGTCTGTCTGGTTTAAATGTGCCTTTTTGATGCTCATTCTCATTAAGTTAACAGTTTCCTAACTAGTCTATCAGTCAGTGGTCCTAAACTGATCCCTATCAGATTCACTGGAACGGGTAGATGGGCCCAGCTCATTGATCTCCCAATAAGTGAGGTTAGAGTGCACAGCTCATGTTGGACTTCTCACTTCTTTGTATTATAGGCGGTACAGGTGCTTTGCAATATCACTACCAAAACGCAACGTTCAGTGCTGAACGCGTTAACCTTACGCTGCCCGCCGTGTTGAAAAACGGTCGTAGAAGACCACCAGCGCCAACGCCAGATGGAAAACTGGAGGTACGCACAGCTTTTCCAGAATATTCTTTACTGAATTCACTTTAGTGTGTTTGTGTTCTTTCTTGTTTTCATTGACATTGTGGCTCTGAAATCATGTCGGCAGCTTCAATGACGTGTTACGTCATTGGCGACGTCAGCATGACGCCATAACATTTAACGCCGAATGTTGTCACACTTAAAAGTTTATTTCAGTTAAGGCCAAATGTTATTACATTTTTTACTTATTTACATTTAGGGGGAAATGTTGTGCATTAAGGACTTTTACTACATTTAGTGTCAGTTATTACAATTAGGCCTTTCACTCACGTGGCTTGCATCTATACAATTTATTTGAACAAAAGAAAGCGTTTACACAAGAAAAGAGTTCAACTCCCACAAGACTGGTTTGGAACACCAACATGGCCGTCGTTTTATTGTTTTGGAACACCAATATTGTCGCCTTGTCATCATGTGTAAACGATTTATTTGTTTTAAGCTTATTTTGTACTTTTCCTTTTATTTTAGTTTTCAAAATTGGACTGCGGTAGGACTAAGAACTGCTACTCTGAGCCCACAGACTGTTCGTCCAGTCGAAACTGTGACTATCTTGTGACGTTTGAACCTTGTCAAAATAAGGATAACGTCAGCTTTGAGTTGAGTGCGAGAAGTGACTGGGTCGCAATAGGGTTCAACGAGCAAAGCAAGATGGTAAGTCTCATAAATCTTTGAAACTCAGGCAGATTTCTCTGTCACACAATTTTTCACTGCGTTCTG